TGGAGGCTTCCGTAAGTTACGTGAGAACCGAGGATTTCCGAGGTTCTCACGGAAAGTGGAATTTGTCCTCAAGGACGAGAATTCGGGTTCTCAATCTGTCTTCTAAAAATAGAACTAAAAAATTCGCGACAGATGAAACAAAATCCCTGGCATTGATGTGAGATATAGAAAGCGATAGCGAAAGCTTTTCATGTTTCTCATTTTTGTCAAGCATGAACAAGGGGCTTAGACAAAAGTTTGCGATCGCATTCTTTTAAAGGAGAACTTCTTTTGTTAAATCTGATGTCCTACTTATATAGTTCACTTTAATTATTTACAAGTTTGGAATGCAAATAAAAATAAAGCGAAAAAACTTTGGTGAGAAAAATATGTCTGGCCAAATTATTTAATCATTTTGCTAGCCTCAGCTACGCTAAGTTCACTTTCAGTACGAAACAAAAATAGCAGATAAGTTGCGCAGCATATTGAATGCATTTGTGCCAAATTTAGTACGTGGTCACTTTTATCATGAATTTACAGTATAATTTTTATCGTTAATTTTCTTACATTGGGTTTCATCTATATACACAGGAGCAGGCAAGTGTAGACCTGACTTTTCGAAATTTTGGGTTTGAAACTTCCAATAACTCCCTTTTTTCTTTTCATTTTGAGCTGAATGAATGAATGATTTGAAGTGTTTGGGGAATAATGAACCAATTAAAATCTGTAAAATTTGGCTCGTCTGCACCCATTGAACTTTTCTCAGCGTAGTGCAGTGGACCCTCAGCTAACAAACTTTTGTTTTTGAGGAAAAATTCTCTCGGTTAACAAACCAAAATTGAGATAATTTACATTTCCTGGGGGAAATTCTGAATTGGAATATTCAAAATTTGATTTTAAGGTTAAAGCGTATATGGTTCAATCAAAGTGCAAATAATTCACCCATATGCACTGATGTGAAAATTCTTCCCTTCTGGCACTCTAATATGTGTAAGCTTGTGTTCTAAATTTTTCAAGCTACATTATTCGCATAGGATTTCCTGTGACAGATTTATTTGCTTTTCTGTCCTTGGTTTTTTAGGTGTACAGTACAATTGTTAGAAAGCTCTAGTATATTTTATCTTTCCTTGCAGCATTAAAAAATGCATTTTCATCTGATAAGTATATACTGTATCCTATATAATGTGTGTTTCTCTGGATATGAAGTGTTATCTTTGTTTTCATTAGTGCTACTTCCATGTATCCCTGTGAAAACATTCTGGGCTTACATAAGACTATAAGAGGCAGCAACAACTTATTCTGATTGTGGTTGATGTCTTTGAATTTTTAATATTCAATGTTAAATTGTCTTTTGGGTTCACAGAATGGATTAAATTCTTCCCCATTGAAGTCTATGGGAAAATTGAATTTGGTCAACAAACTTTTGTCTGGAACCAATCAAGTTACTTATATAGGAGGGTTGTTGCATTGGACTTATCATTTTTACTTCTCTTGGTCATTGGTTAACAAACTTTTGTCTGGAAGCACTAAAGTTTGTTAACCAATGACCAAGAGAAGTACAAATGAACAAATGAATGAATGAACAGAACACTTTATTTGCCGCTTTTCAGCATTCACAAGGTTCAATAAAGTTTTCCACATCCAAACCCCTCATCCCCACCCAACCCGAATCCACTCAAAGACATTTAATCCCTTCATAGCAGGAAACAGAGCACTTAAAAATTAATTTAAAGCACAAGGTCTTCAGCTCGTTTCTGTATGAGGTTTAGTTGAATGAACAAATTACAGAGAATCTTTGATGAGAAATCATATAAAGCCAACAATTTATCTTGATCCTTTAAGATTTCAGAAAGGCTCTCTTCATTGAATTTCTGTACTTGTAAATCTATCTTAAGCTTGTTTCTATCAGTATGAAATGTACAAATGATAAATCCAACGCAACAGCCCTCCTATTCAAGTATGCCTGGGGGAACAAGGAAATTCTGTCTCTTTCCATTATTACTTGTATATGCAGCACAGTACTGTATATGTTTCGCTATATAGTGAGATTTCTTGCTGGTTTATTTGATTATTTTGCTGGAAATAGGCACTGGCGAGTATGTCAGCTTACCCAACTAGCATCAGTCCAATGGATTCTGACGCGGCTGCAGCAGAATCCCATCAGCGTTCCGTGGCTCAGTATTACAGTGATGTGGATGCGGCTGATGTTGCTACTCGTGTTGCCATGGTGAGTTGAAAGCCTGGTTTCCGAATTCCTTTTCTCGAAGTGTCCTGATCCTTTCTGCTCATTCATGATTCAATATGCCTCTGGCTGCGAGCAGCAGATACGAGGTATTGGTACAGTATATGTCAAGACCGAGCCTCGATTGCCTTTGAAACATAATTCAGCGTAAACTCCGTGTATATGCAGAAGTTGAATTATTCCGCGAATGGCTAACAGCGCTTCGCTGGGAGGTGATGAATAAAATATCTGGCGTTGCGGGTTGTTTTTTCATGGAGAATTTATGTAGTGTTGGTTACGAAATTGATACCCTCTGGAAGTGCAAAGGGATCCCGAGATGCGGACGCAATTGGTGCATGCGCTGTGGACTCTGTCCTCAAGTCGGAACGTCTGCGTGTTGGACCTTTTGTTTTCCCAAATACCTCGATGGGAATATTTTTATTTGGTTCTTCTGCAGATAAAAAATAAATGAAAAATTTCCCCCAAAAATTGAAATAATTTTGTTTCTCAACATCAAGATGCAGAAAATAATTTTACAGAAGAAAACCCCACATGATCCAATATTCGGGTACAATAAGAAGGAGCTCAAGAAGCAAGTAACAAGAATTAGTCTTGCTATACTGAAAAAACTGAAAGAAGAACAGAAATTAGCCAATTTTGTGATGATGAATCGGGGTAATTTATAATTAAATTTATTTCCAGCATTTGTAAATGTAAATAACTCAATTTTTTAAAGAGTTTACAAAAATTTAGAAAACGTGAAATTTTTAAAAATTTCAGAGATCTTGGAAAAGTGTTTGAATTTCGAGTCACTGTAAGGAATTTTCAGTTCTAAGTGTCCCTAAGTCAAATCATCTGTATCTTGGGGTCCTATCTTTGATTTACGTTGTGGGGTTGTATATTTTGTATACAGGGTGAAACAAAGAATTTTTATTAGATTTTATATGCTGAGAAACTGTCTGTGCTGAAAGAATCGCAATGTTAGCCCACGCAAAATTGCAAGTCGAGTATGTAGTGTATTATTATTGTACTTCACTTGCAGTGCGATTTTAAATGACTGATTTGTGTATGTCGAAAAGATGTAATCCCAGCAACAAGAAAAAACCTCTCATGATTGTCTCTTTTTCGAATCTTTTAAAAAATCTGCGTTTTTTAAATCCAAGTCAGATAAGTGTCTTCTTTTCCCTTTCTATAAACGAATAGACTTTCTTATCCGCGCATTTCGTGACGTTATTAATTTCCAGTTGGAGAGTCGGGACTCGTTTTTTTCGATTTTTGCTGATCAGTTACTGTGTTCTGAATACGATCACCCTGTCTTGGTTTTTTCTTCTTTCTTGCAGGTCAGGTTTTTTAATTCGCCAAATTTGCTGTTGAACTTCAGCGAGCACACGAGGACATTGCGACTTTATCCTCGTCCGGTTGTAGCGTTTCAAATCAACAGCTTCCTGCGTTCGAGGAGCCACACAAGCGCTTTTCTCTCGCGATTTGCTTGCACTCAGGTAAATCAGCTATGTTTTTCCTTGTTTTAATAATAACCTCTTTTGAAGTGTATTTTTTCAATGATCAGATGTCTGAAAGAAGAAAAAAAACCGCAGCAATAAAATGCGTGGAACTACGAAAGATTCCGAAGTCCCGTCCGCTGTTCAAAAAAAAAAAGAGAAAAAAATCACCCCAATTCGTTCAAAAATTTTCTGAATCAATTGATATTTCGTTGTCCACTCGCAATATTTGAAAGCAATTCGGCGGAGCATTGAACCACTGATTAAATTCGAAATTTGGACAAGTTTGTTCTTCTTTGAACTTAGAATAAGTCCTTCAAAATGTCCAATGCAAGACTTGAAAATATATTATGGATGGTTTACACTGAGTAACCAAAAAGGTTTTGGTGGATTTCCTGTGAAACTCGGTTCTCGTGAAATTTCAAAAATTCAACGGCTTCAGATTGACTCAAGGATAAATGAAATGGATGCTTAGTTATAAATAATAAAAATATTGTCCCACTATAATCATTTTCGCATCATCCACGATATGAAGATTGAGAAATTCAAAATTTTCTAAAATGTAAAAGCAAAAAATGGCTCTCGTTATCTGCAGAAAATGATCTCGTCGCCCAAAAGGTTTCTCAAGTACTGCGTGAAGAGCAAACATTTTAACTGAGCAGAAGTTATGCCCAGATCGTCTCAATTTTTTGGCGTATTTTCTTGAGTTACTTCTTCTTTTTTTTTGCTGCTGAAAGAAAACTTCTTGACTTATTTGTTTTGTCAGTTCTTAAGTTCTCAAGCGTGATACAGTACGTGAAGTACAGTGTTTAGTACCACGAAGATTGGATTAATTCTATTTATTTGTAGGCTGTGGAATATTTGGCGGAATGGTGTCTGAATCCGACGAATGTCGCCTTTTTGAGAGTGCAAACCGGTGTTTGCGATCCTGCCCTGGTTGGAGACAAATGCAAATGGTTTCAGCACGAATTGGAACCCCTGGTTTTTCCGGTGTGGGACGACAATTCTACTCTGGCTGCTGTTTTGCGATCAGCTTCCGAACTCGAGAATTTACCCACTGGTTAGAAATTAGCAAAAAGTTTCTTGAATTCTTCAATGTCAAGCTTTTTTTTAAATGAACTTCGACAGATGAAAGTGGCAGTGATTCTGATGGGGAAAACAGCACGAGTTCCTCGTATTCCTCACTTTCTGATGTGGTGTCCGATGTTTCTCCAGGTGAGTTACTTATTTCGGCTGTGAATGGATTTTGTACCTTTTTTGAAGTTCGTCATCAGTAAGAAATTCTGTATGAATGCCTTTGAAAATTTTCTCCTTAAATATTGACGCGTTTTATAAACTTCTTATGTCGAAAGTATTTTGAGGCATTTTTAGACCAAAAACTTTTTCACGAGAGCGTAAATTCTTCATCGATCTATTTATCATCGAAAAAACAAGGATATTAGTTCCTGAAGCAGAAATGAAATGTGCTGAATCCTCCAAATTGCGAACTTTGGATGACCGAAGAACACTTCAGTTGCAAAGTGCATTCGTACATACTTTTTACGACGTTGAAGACATTTTTCAAGATCTTCGTTTGAATAGTGCAGGTACTTCTGTAAGAAGTCTCCAGAAAAGTCACGCCCGGATGTTTAATTCTGAAAGAAAAGAAAAAAAAACATTCGTTTCGTATAAGATTCCAGAAAGTACTTTTATTGAAAATGTAAAAGTTGAGTCTTTTTGTAAAATTCTAAAAAACATCCCTTCAATTTTTTCGTTTCCGTGAGTGTTCTTCCAAATACAGTACGGTACTCAACTCCAAAGCAATATAGAAACCTGGCCCTACATCCTAGATAATTATAGGCAGGTGTCACTCGAATCGCTGGCCTGACTAGAAATCAACGCGTGTATAATTTAAAGAAATTGCAGAAAAAGAGGCAGGTGTTCGGAGTGTTTTTTTTTTCGAGGCGGAATGCAGAATTGTATTTCTTATCTTGTGATTAACGAGAAAACACTTTTGAAGATGTCATTAATCAATTATTCATTCAAAGTATAGCATCTTTTGTAACACCAAGAGTGAGTATAGGCATTAGTTTAGGCACTAAATTGGCATTTCCCATAAAAGCACAATTGAGGAAGATTTGTTCCTGGGAATTTTGTGGCACTATGTGAGGATGGCAAAAAATCGAGGGTTGCTTGCGCACAAAATTTTCATGATTGCTGAGTGACTTATTATTTTGCGAGCAGGGACACATCATCATCATCAGCAGCACCAGCACCATCAAGAAAAGAGCAAAACGCATCAGGCAAAAGAACCTCACGCCCTTTTGTCCAGTGGCCTGGATCCGCGATCCGTGTATCGTCCACCGCAAAACCTGCGTCTGCCAAACGGGGCCCCGTATTTCGTTGGCAACGCTGTTCCTGCGGGTCTGTCTTTGGACCCGTCATCTGCCGACAAATCCGGGAATCTTCGTTCCTCACCTTCTTCGCCTTCGTCGTCTGAGAGCAATTTCAGCTCTGGAGATGACGACGACAAACGAGTGAGTCATTTGTCGCCTATTGTATATGTCTGTTGGGGGACCGCGTCGAATTCCTTGGTAATCGAATTCCTTGGAGGAAAGAACTGACCGAATCATAAAACCTAGTCGAAAAAAAAAAAACTGCTGGGTAACCAGAAAAGCGGGCAAACTCCAAAAGAAGAGCTTCCCCTCGACAAAAATTTAAAACCTTCTTGGAACAGCAGTATCTTGACTACAGCTAATCAGCCAATCACAGCCCTCTTGAAAAACACACCTCCTTATTAAAAGTGCCAAAACCAGAGAATGCGAAAAACAAATCGATAAAAGCCCCTTCTTCGATTTCCCAATCGATCCCGATTAGAGCTTCACTGTAAGGAATGTGTGCTTTCGGGAATAGTTCTGCTGAGTTGTTGTTTGCTGTCTGAAATTCAACTTTAAATCACTTGAAAACCATTATAATTTTTTAAAGAAATATATTCCGAACACTTTCAACTCAGAAATCCCATGCGGATTTCCAGCCTTGTCCTTTGCTGATTAATTGCTTTATTCCTGGCTTACTTTACTCTGCACTGTACTGTACTTCTGATACTGTGAAATTCTTAATCTTTTATGTGTGGTAATTCATCCTCCAACAGCAATGTCTACATTTAACGTACTCATGTTCAAGTCTGTTGGACGCTGAATGTGGAAAGCTTTATAAGTTAGTGTTCCCCAACCGTTTTGGGCTATGGGACTGAAAAATTTCCATAAAATGCTTTCAGACCAGCAGAAATTTTAAAAACACCTGCCATGAAGCCATAAATCCAAAACTTTAATGGCAAAAATTGAGTTAAGAACCAAAAATGAAGCAGCTGTATAGTGGACCTTATTGATATTTACTGTATTTACTTGAGTTCCACGTGCCCTCGAGTAAGACGTCATCAGTATTTTTCAGTCAATTTAAAAAATAAAATTCTATCAAAGAATAAAACGCAGACCCCATTTTAGTGACTCTAAAACTGCAAATTTTCAAAAAGGATGAAACCCAAACTTGAATTTAGACATGATTTGATACTGAATTTAACTATACAAGTATCTCAATTACTTTCACATTACAATATGTATTTTTATTCGAAATTTGTCAAACATTTTCTACTAACATAAAATGTAATACACACATAGGCTTCTAAAACTTTTAAACGTTTTTTCCTGCGTATGAAGCACACCCCCTTTTTTCCCTCTCAGTTTTGACTTTTGAGAAGAAATGTGCGGTACAAAAGTACAGCAAATACAATTTTTCATCATAAAGACTTGGGAATTATGAGAGGTTTTGAATTATTTATCGTAGAAACATTGTACGGTACAATATTTATTATCCATTTTATCCAAAAGTTCAGTCTACAATGTGGTAGAAACCGCGAATCTCTAAAACAAAGAAATTTCCGTCATAAATAATTTTATAATAGGTCCATGGAAGTTCTTTGTAACGCGATTTTACTCTAGTTGGGTCACATGACTGCATGATGTACAGTTTTTAGGAATAAGCTCAAACTTTTTCGAATAAGTTGATTGAAAATGTGTTTATTTCCATTTGAAGGAAAGTGGTGAAGTACGCAGTGCTTCGGGAACTGTCTCTTGGTCGCCGGCGCAGTTGCAAAATCAGCAGAAGCCGCCAAGTCCGCCACCTCGTCCGCCACCGCCAGTCTTGCCAGCGTCCAATAAGGCTCCTGCTGCTGGCAAACCCGCGACGCCCTCTCGACAGACAAGCAGTAATCTCTTTGAATCTGCTGCTGGCGGCTTTGGAGCCAAAATGCAGCAATTATTTGCCACCATTTCTGATCGTGACAGCAACGGTGGATCTCCGATGGTGAGTCGTCATGATATTCTATCACACATCACGTGCAATTTGCAGCACGTATGTCGGTGCCTGAAAGCTATTTACATTTTGCACATCCGGATATTCCGGAAAGTTAAATTATACCAGCATGACGTGCGAATTTCCACTCTCTGAATTGCGTGTTGATTCTCATCGAAAATGACTCATGAAAGTTTTTTGTTGTTGTTGATTTTCTGGCTGAAATGCTTGCGAGGAAATTTATTTTTGATGCATTTTTTTTTTTTGCTTTTCTTGTTCCTGTGTCAATAAATCAATAGCCAGCAGGCCTCAGCAAGGTCGAGCAAATTCGAGATTTGAGAGGAAAAGACTTCGAATTGGAGATGTTTCTAATGTATTATTGCTAACGCAATTCAGGCGGGGACTTGGAAAAAAATTGGCATGGTAGATTCGATTTACATAAAGGCTCACCTGTACCATCAATCTCTTGATTTAGTCCCTATCCCCAAGTTTTGCCACGAATTCCACCCGAACAAATGATCTATCTTATTATTCTTCCCTGTGATGAAGATACCTTAAAACTTAAATGAATACTCGCGAATTACTGCTTTCTTCGCCATTAGTGCCAAGAAATGTCCAATGAATGATGGCATCAAATCGGGGTTGAATTTTACGGTGATATTCTCCAGAGGAAATGAGTGTATCGAGTATCGTCATCTTGCTTCAACAGAGTCCAAGAAGACAAGTGGGATCGTCGGTAGAAAGCGTCGAATCGGACTCGGGGTCCGGGGCGTCGACGTCAGTGCGGACCGTGATGGCGGCGTCGGCGGTGTCGACGCCTCAACACGTGCAACTCAGCGGAGTGTCGCCGTCGGGCAGCGTTTCCAGCGAAATCGACGTCCGGGAACTTGGTTCGAATAACAGTCAGCAGCACAAGAAACTGGCTTCGAGTACCTCGTCCTTGGGGGTAAGTTTCTATACGTCTACGATATATACACGAGATATAAATTATCTTCCTTTTTACATAAGCATTCAAGTTCAAGTGCTATTTTTTTCAGAGGAGGACTTTTTAAAGGAACCTTAAATTCGCATGAATCTTGTCCAACCTTCCCTCTAACTACTGTATATAGCTAGACTTTTATTCCATTTAGGCTCCTTGATTTTTCCTCGTCATCATTTAGATGTCGCCCTAACGTTGACACATTTCATTCGGTCTAACTTTGTTGCATAGACAAGGTTATGCTATTCAGTAGCAATATGTGTTATGTTCGTTATCGTAAGTTAGCTTATACAGTACTGTACTCATTCGGGTTTCATTGGTTCTGATATAACTGATCTCCTGTACGTATACTGCGTATATGTAACGGGAGTTGGAATTAGTAAAGGTATTCTAGGCTGATTTGAATTCAGGTCCTTGATTTAGTTCAGTCTTACACTCTTACCCAACCTGTTTGAGGCTGCGGACCGGCAAATTTCGAGAAAAAAAATTTTGGGCCGGAAAATTTCCAAAAAATATTTTCTGCAGACCAGCAAATGATTTTTTGCAGGCTCAAAAAAGTTTTATTTGATAGACTTTATGGCAGGTTTTTAAAAAGTTTCAGCTTAAAAAAAAAAAGAGTTACGAACCAATGTAGCAGCTATAGAGGAATGTCATAAAAAATTTTGAAAGGTGGGCTTTAAAAAAGGTTTCTCAGAATGACAAAATAGAATAACTTATTTTAGCTGGTGAAAATTTGTCTGAAGGGTTCTATATACATGGAGAAAATTATTTCTACTTTTATTTTTCATCAGATAATTTCAACTGCCATTGTCTTTCGAAACATTCAAATGAAGATAACAGAGTGACTTCATTCTTACTTTTGATAAATTCATTGTGCTGAAGAAAATTTTCCTCAGACCAACAAAAAATTTCTGCGGACTGGCACCAGTCCGCGGACCACGGGTTGGGCAACACTGCTTTAGTTCCTTTTGACCAAGGGAGGGATTCATGCAATATATCTTATTCATATTCTAGTGAACCATTTTAAGGGTTAATAGGAAAACAAAAGCGTTCCAAAATGCTGTATTGCATGGGCACACCGATTCCAGATCTGTGAAGATTAGGCTTTGATTGGATCTTTCTTCCCAATTTTGTTCAAAAGTTACGGGAAGGGAAAGTTTCCTGGGAGTTTTTGAAAGTGACTACTTTTATGTAAACGTGTGTTTCGTTACTTATTTTCCCCCATCAGAGTTATCCAAGTGGGAAAGAAACCAAACCTTCGGGGCTCATGGGTACAGTTCTGGCTCGTGCTGCGAGTTTCGGGGGTCAACAAAATCAGCAACAACAACAGCACCACCATCACCACCAGCAACAACAACAACAGCAACAGCAGCAGCAGCAACAACAACCTTCTGGGTTTTCACTGGGTTCCGGGTTTGGAAGTTTCGAACAATTCGCTCTTCAAGCTAAGGAGAAAATGTCCAAAAAGGTGAACGAAACGAAGCGTCAAGCTTCTCAGGAAGGCATTTTTGCACACGTCGATAAGGTAGGGGCATTTACTTGGAAAATTCACAGGTTACCCTCTCCATTATTCAAGACATAAATAAATACCCGTTATTTATGAGGATATCGCTTCACAATATTTGCCAGTATAATCAGTTTTCGGTAATTAAGATGTATGTGGGTTCAACTCGAAACAAACCTATGTTAAGTCATCGATAGAATAATTTTCGTTAACTGTTGCCCCGACTTGCACAAAATGTTGCTCACATATTGAATTTGTAGGGTGACCTTCACTTTTAGAAACATTAAAACGTGTTTTCGAAAGACTCGGTCAGTTGCCCATTGATGCAACATTAAATTTGAGAAATTGATCATTTCCGATTTTTTTTCCCATTGTGAATCGGCAAGAAAACGTTGGAATAGGGATTGGACTTGTCATAATTCGATAATCTTAATGCATTCAAAAATTTTTCGATTAGGGAACTGCAAGTCTTATGAGCCGGCCCTTGAATTTCAATAATATTTCCTTTTCAATTCAACGCTTTGCAATGTTTTTCTTTCTGTGACGGGTTTTCACGCAATTCTGCTGTAGACCTTTTATTTTATGCATCGTAATGTAGAAGTCGCTTATAGATTGCTAGCCTTAAACTTAAGTTTGAGTATGCACCATTTTTCGGTAGAATTTCAATTCTGGAGGTTTTCGAAAATTTATAGCCTCTTGCTTTTGGCATGAGCCATCCACGTATTTCGCGATTATTATGCACAGATTAAAACAATTAGGAAATTTTATTCATTAGGTAATGTTCGAGGGTTGTCCCAGCTGGACACGACCTCGGATATTTTCGGAGTAAATTTGAATTTCTTTAAATCATGATATACCATAATGATGTAAGCTCATGGGACGTTTTCGAAAAAAATTTAAATTTACTGCACCATCATGAGTGAAAACTTTCCAGTCACAGCCAAAAAAGTCCTCCAACCCTGTCGCGGAGTGCTTAAAACTTGTCAAGCGAGATGTGAAAATTGATTTTTAAATGTTAAACCATTATCTAATCAATGCAGAAAAATATGATGGTAAACAGCCAAAAATTTCAATTTTATTTAACTGTCCTGACGCATTTTTTATAGCCCCTCGTAACAGGGGTGGAGAACTCCGGCTGTAGATGGCAATAAGTTTTCACTAATCATCATGCAGTAAATCGAAAGAATTTTTTAAATCCGAAAAGATGGAAAAAAAAAACTCCCAGAACCTTGGAACATCATGGGATATTTCATGTTTTTTTTTGCTGTCGTAAAAATCACCGCTACTCGAAAAATATATCAGAGGTCGCGTCCAAATGGGAAAGCCCTCGTATATAACATATTTTCTTTCGCGAAAGGCATCATCGACTGATGCTCTTTATGTGCTGGTGGAAATTCGCGTCAGCTCTTCGCAATTCCTTCCTCCTCCTGTCGCAGACTCGGCTATTTATTTTCATTTTGCCTTTCTTTTCAAAATCGTCTCAATGCATATAATGTATAGCTGACGCAAGGAGCGAAAAAGGCGGCAGAAGACGCGTCCAAGAGGGCAGCTGAAGCCTCGACGAAGGTGATGGAACACGGACAAAAGGCCGCTGAAGCGTCGCGGTCGACATTGGACGACCTGACACACGTCAGCAAATTCACTCTGGGAGACTTATCGACGAAGGCGCAGAAGGCAGCTGCGAAGCGAGGAATCGTCCTCAAGGTTCGTCGGCTTCGATTTTACCCCCACATGCAAATCTTGACGTTCTATATGTAGTACTATAAACTATACAGTATAGTCTTATCTTCTTGTTCGTCATCTCCACGAAAATTTCCTCGTTTCTCTCTTAGATTCCGTATATGCATTATTTCGTTCGTCCCTTCCGAGTCTTATGTAGCCATTTTCTGCCCAGGTGCAGCATTTTTTATTTTATGTTTAGTCCTGCTTTGAAGTCATGCCCACATTTTTCATTCCACTCTTGCCAGTACTGTATTTCTTTTTTGAATTGCTTAAGAACTGAAATTTCTAACTGGATATTAAGATGAACTCTGGCGAAATACCCGAAAGAGCGAACCATTTATTAAACTTGTGTTAGAGAAACAAATTTAACTTGCTGAATAAAATGTCCAAAATGGCGTTAATCATTGCAAAGTGACCTTGGAATATGTGTGGAAGTTATGCTAGAGTGAGTGCAAGTCGAAATTCTTGGGAGCCTCAAGGATTGGAATTCTACCAACAACAAAAAAATGGTCCATATACTGTACTCAAATTGTATTAAGGATATGAACAATCTGAATCCGATTTATTCTGCACTGATGCATATAAAGAAATTACTTAGTGGCTCATGTTTTTCTCTCGTGTACTTATTGACAAGAAAGGGTTGAAATTTCAGAGATTGCCAAAATATTCCTTTAAAAAATGAAATGATTCCGCTGAGTTGAATGTATAAATTTATTTACGAAAAATACCAAAAAACTCCAGAGCATATATTCATGAAATATGATCTCAATACATTCATGATAAAAGGGTCTTGTCCGCCTTTTCATTCGTGGTACAGTATATCATTTAGTGGATATTACATTTATCGAACCCAAATTGTGAGTTATTGAAAATAGGAAAGCGTTTCGGATGTGCATAAGGCCTGTAAAAACTTTCCTGTGCCATTTAATTTCCCTCTGATGACTAATTTTTTTGTTATTGTATGGGAAGAACTGTTGGTATGCCAGTGATATTTTTAGGCGATCATGCAAATGTATAGTACTTGCTGAATGAGATTTATAAAATGAATCCATAATCCGTGACATTTGATAATTTTGAGCAAAATTTCGGACATTTCCTGCCTATGAGATTCATATAAAATATTGAACCACGTACACGAAGTCGATTTTCCCATTGAATTCATCGGTTTACCCCGCTCCTCGAAATTATTTTATGGGTATTGAATTGCTTCATATGGGAGTGTGTGCTGTATTCTTTTTTTTTAATGAAAGGGTTTGGGTGACTCGGGGGAGCGAGACACGATCCCGGGTTACGAGGGTATGATGGCGGATCCGATGTACGCCAGCGAACCCTGCGGCCCACTTTCGCCGACGGTGTCAATTTCGCAGGGGAATTTAGGACCGGGTTCCAGAGCGTCAATTTCTTCCAGTTCCAGTCGAGAGTTCCAGCTCTCCAGCTCTGGCAAGGACTTCTTCACGTCAGTCACGTCCGAAATCGAAAGCCTGACAGCTCAAACGTCGTCCATTTTCAGCGACTTTTTTGGCACCGGTACGTGAATGAAAAAATAAAAAAGCTGCCGAATGACGAATAATGTCGGGTTCTCCGTAGTTACAGCGTAGTCCCCACTTGGAGGGAAACTCAATCGGAAATTTCGCATAACATTTTTGATCAACAGCGATCGAAATCACGTGAAAAGTTGTCTACACATTGCAATAGTCTCCAAGCAATATGAATTTCACTATACTCACAAAGGATACTTCTAAACTTATTGAAGTGTTTGCCAAAAATTGCAAATTAATGTCGTAAAACTCTGGAATCGTCACCCTGATTCTAAAAACTTTGAGAACCATGTTTGGCGGAATATTTTTTGAGATTGGATAATCTACAGAATTGCAGATTTGCATTGATTTTTCCCTCTTGTAATAGGCAAAAGTTCCAGCATGTTACCTTTAAGAATTGCTAAATTACGTAATTAAGTTTTGGAGTTTCAGCAAAATGCTTTTACCTTCGTCAAGAGTATTAATGCAAGTCCATGAGAAATGTGAGCTGTTTCTTTTCTTGGATTTGAAAAGAACAAACTACGATTCTCCCAAGTTTCACTCAACAAAATCATATGACATTTTTCCTGATCAAACATCCCTATACTGTATCTGTCCTCGCTTGGTTTCAATTTTTAAAATGAATGAATGCCATGAACAAGAATGTCATGCAAATAACCAATAATCCTGACATTTAGGGATTGAGAGCATAAAAATCACTGCGCCATTATCGCATCAAAAGGAATATCTAGTCAATATTTTTGTTTTTTGTTTTTGAGTTGTTTCGAGTTGTTTTTTTTTCTGGAACAGGATTTTTGGTGGTTTTTTTGCAAGCGGTCCTGTTTTATTTATTTATTTCTTCCGACTTTGAGATGGCGACATGCGCCAACTGTTCGTGCTGCGCCAATAAATTACATATCCAAATTATAGTGTTGAAATTCACATTTAGTACAGTTATTAAAATAAATATGTGCTATGTTGTGCAGGGAAAAACGGAAACGGAAACGGGCAGAGTGGAGGAAACCCTCCTCCTCCTCCTGTTCCTCTTCAACAGCAGCAGCAGTCGTTTCAGCAAAGACCTCCTGGTGCCGATTTGGAGCGAAGTCCTTCAGTAATTACGACAGACAGCGTGACACGGGGGTCGTCAACGTCGACACCAACCATGACCCAACCCCAGACTGGGTTCTCTCGACAGTCGTCCCGTGAAGGACCAGGGCGTCCTCAGCCTTTCGGCCCATTTCCCACCGGTGAGTCTCACATGAATTTTAAAAAAAGACCCCGACATACGGACGATCCGACTTATTCGGGACACTTGAAACTTCCTGCTTGTATACAATCTATGAATGAAAAACATGGTTGATAATTAGGCCTGGAATCAATTTTTCTTGGAATGACCGGCATCAATATGACCATGTTCACAACAACAAGAAAAACTCATTGGGGAAGTTGATTTTTGGAGAATGATTCACTCATCATAGTATTTTTTCAGATTTTCTGTAAATATTTCAAAGTATTGATCACTGGTATCTAAATTGTCACCAACGGTAATTTGGCCTACTGGTACACATTTGTATGGCTGTCTAAAAGGCCTGAATACCCTCCGTAAGGGGTATTCTCATGTGAGCTCTTGCTCCTGCAAGGTTCAGATGGGTTCTGAGGATGGGGGATCCTGGTATCTACATATGGGTCAGTATTTGCAGTGAAGAAAATTAGTTAGTGTGTAGTAACATACATGTACCTGCATACACCATGAAATATTGAGCAAGGCAATCATGACCACAAGTTTTGAATCTATAAAATTTGCAATTACTGTACTGTACATTTATCCAAAATTAAATTTTGCATGAATATATTTTTGCCTATTTTGAGACCAACAAATTTGGTCTTACAATAGAAAAGTTCTGAACATTTTTTTAGGTCGTGAAAGCAGAAATAACTAATTTCTAGAGAAATTTGAGCGTATTGTGCCATGCAAATACCAGAGAGAGGGCATAGGTCATACCATTGAAAGCGACGGGAAAATAAATTGGAGACCATGCAGAGTTGTTTCATTTAAAACTCGGTTGAATTTTTTTCTATTTTCGTGCGTGGAAATGCATGTTTTTGTTCAGTTATTTATGCCAGAAAAAAATGATGATTGCAGGGCGGAAGGGAATAATAGAAAAATCCCCGCTGATACGACACGCGGTTCCTATCGACAAAGCGCAGGCTGAGCTGCAACGTATACATCACATGGAAACCCGAACGTCTGTTACCCACGAAAACCAGAACTTCCTCAAAGATGTGAGTATTTTTCCGAGATTTGTGACCAATCAATCAATCATGTTTGATTTCCCGCCGAAAGAAACAAAATCTGTCATCCATTTTTAGCATGTTGAGAAAAAAAATCGACTCATTATTGGAGAAAAGTCTCTGTTGATTTTCAGAACTTCTTTTTTTCTGCTGAGTCATTCCATTTGAAATCAAACTATAGTAATGTACAGTATACACTATAGATGGGATTGAGAAGTATGGATTCTACAATATTTAGATGACCAATAATTCATAGTGACAGCCTAAATTCTTCGTCTTGCCATTCAATCATGACTTTACTTGAACATTTCAAAAAATTGACTAGTATTCCACGATTTCATCTCGGTTGTCCTACTGAAGTGCATTCTTGGGGGGGGGGGGGGAGTTTTTTTTCAAACGTACATATTTTTTCAATGAAAGCACGGAAATGAAATTTATACATTACAGTATCAGAAAGTTTGACTTTAACTTCGATTGCATAACATACCCTATGTGAAAAAAATCATGATGCATTATTGGTCATTTTGAGCACTTATATTCCTTTATTTGACAGGTGGTTCAGCACGTATTGGCTGGAGAAGGGATAGGATGGCTAAAGCTGAACAGAGTGAAGAAACTCATGGAAGACGAGAACTATCGAAACTTTTTATTGTCCCGTCTGAATCAAACCTTGGATCGCAAAATAGGACCCGATGACCACATCGACGATGTCGTGAGTATTTTACTTCTTTTCGAAATGGATCTAGGGTTTTTTTTTAGATTTCCATTAAGAATATTTATCTATAGATGAACTTCGAAACTCATGTACGTTTTCGAAGAATGTGTGCGACTTCTTGGAAATAAGTTGTGCAGTTCTACTTCAAATAAAGTTCTGTTTGTGTTCGGTGTTTTGAGTCAGAGTCCCTGCATGAAACTGCTGCTGAATATCGCAATGAACGCACTTGAAGTAACTTTCGGTTTATTTTCGAAGGATTTTATTTAAATGCAACCCAAACTTTGGCCTCCATCGCACATTACAGGAACACTTTCACGAAAAGCATCACTAAAAATTGCCGAGATCGGAAAATGATCGTCAAATATATGGGATATATTACCCATGAAATGATTTCAGTCTTTTGAAATATTTGAAGCACTCGGGTGATCACATTAATAAAACTTGCGTGTGAAAAGTAAACTCATTTTCTCGCTGATATTTTTTGCGAACTTGCAATCGTCTGTATCCTCTCCAATCAAACCTGATGGATGAGAACTATGTGAACAGTCCTCTGTAAACGATAGAATGTTACTCGATAGTTGTGAAACAGTAATAAAATAAGAGCAGAAAAAACTTTTAAATACAGTACATTGATATGCACGGCGTAAAAAAAATTATTTTTTCAACGAAATAAAAAGCGGGAGCTCGATTTATAAAAATCAATCGCTTTAATAATACGGCAAGAGAAATATTTGATTTTTAAAAAACGTCAATTTTATGTTGTACAGGCCTCGCAATTCGACCCTGTAATCCGTTGCCAAACTAGGGTTGAATTGTGAGACACTTCGTGAAATTAAACAAAAATATCAATTCGAAAGCGCAAAAAAAAATGGCCAAAGCAGGTTGAATTGCGAAGCAAGTGTCAAATTTCGAGTACTGTATATACCTCCCTGCAAATTCGACCGTCGAAATTGGGGACGGTCGAATTGCGAGGTACCATCTGTATTAGTTGGTCTAAAATACGGTATCACATCATCTTACATTTCCTTATAGTGTGTTAAAAAGTCCGTGTGGAAAGGCATGGTGAAATTGTGCCTGGCAGTGCAACACGGCCTGGAGCAAAGCTACGCCAACAGTGTTGGCAGTGGTGGAATGGCCTCGTGCTTCCAGTTATTCGAAGTTGCTCACACCCACTTCTGGACCAAGGATCTCTCGGATCCCCACAACACACATGCTTTCGGAGATTTATCACAAACCTCTACTGCAGCCGTATCGAGGGTTAGTAATATTTTTTCGAAGGTTATGCAATGCGAATAGAGAAAAATTAACGCTTCGACGTCAGTAGTGGCTTAGGAAAGAATGGATAATCTCAGTAGCTTTTAGGAAAGATTGTGAAATTCAGTTGCTTATTAAGGATAGTGAAATTCAGTTACTTAGTAAGGATAGTGAAATTCAGTGGCTTAGTAAGGATAGTGAAATTCACTGTCTTAGAAAAGATAGCGAAATTCAGTGGATTACGAAGGATAATGAAATTTAGTGACTTAGGAAAGATGATGAAATTTAATAGCTTATAAGAAATTAAATCAAATTCAGTTGCTTGGGAAATACAGTGAAATTCAGTTGAATAGGAAAGTTAGTGAAATTCACTGTCATAGAAAAGATGGCAAAATTCAGTGGATTAGGAAGGATAGTGAAATTTATTGACTTGGGAATGATAATGAAATTTAGTAGCTTAGGAAAGATAATCAAATTCAATGGCTTGGGAAATGCAGTGAAATTCAGTTGAATAGGAAAGTTAGTGAAATTCACTGGCTTGGAAAAGATAGGGAAATTCAGTGGCTTGGGATGTATATATAGTTAAATTCAATTGAATAGGAAAATTGGTGAAATCCACTGCTGGCTTAGGAAAAATATTGACATTTAGTGACTTATTGAGAAAAATAGTGAAATTCAGTGGCTTACAGGAAGGACACTGAAGCGTATCACAATAAAATTTCGATACGGAAGCCATCGAAACCAATAAAATAGCTTCATTGCAACAACAAAATTCGCTATGAAGAAACTGTAAAAAGGGATTGTGGATATTGAGCAATAATGAAGAACTTGAGGAAATACTTTCTTTGCAAGTGATTATTCGTCTTATTGAGATTTTCTGTGAAGAGATTCTAGTGTATTTTAATGATAGCGGAATATTTGCACTGACTTTCGGATCTATCTTATTGGAGTACGCTGCCTCTGCCGTTTTGAAGCTAAAAATGCATAGCGCACATTTTTTTCAGTTGATTTTAGAATTGACAGAAAATGATTATATTTTGCAGTCGTCAAGTCCTGCATCGGAAAGCATGGATAACCTGAAACTGTCTCCCATGACACCGACCGGAGGCTTTTCTGGAACAGAAGACGGGGGATCCACAATTTTCCCCTCCATGTCTTCCGTGGAAAGTTCGAGAAAGTCATCTCGAACAGGTAATGAACTGTCACTTTGATGCAAGAAATTATTTTCAACATTGAATGCAAATACGTACTGTAAATACAATTCCTTCAACCCTGAGCGTGGGAATTTCATGTGCGCAATCCTTTTTTTGTCCTGTGCGCAATATTTTTTTTTTGCCAGTGTAATCATTTTCGAGGATTTTTTTCTTGAAGGATTCCTTCGAGATCTTTTCTTCCCCAATTTAAAAATTCAATTTTTGCATCGCCTTGAATGCAATATCAGAGCCATAAATGTGTACATTTTATGCAATGCAAGAATGAGCTTTTTTCGAGTGTCCTTTTTGTTCAACTAGAACGAACCGTCGATAGGGATAACGATCAAGCTATACAGCAAAACAAAAACTTGGCTTTTAATGATAAAATAGCAGCTTATTTTATTCGCCGCTGGAATTTTTTCGTGGATTTATTTATTGAAGGATTCCTTCGAGATTTTTTCTTCCCCGATTTGAAAATTCAATATTTTTATATTATTGTCAGAGCCATAAAACGTGTAAAAATAACACAATGCAGGAATGACCTTTGTGTGTCCCTTTTGTTCAATGAACTGCATGTTGATAAGGACTATAATTAAGATCAGCTTGCTAAAAAAAATTTGCTTTTAATTTACAAAAAAAATAAAATAGCTTCGTTAATTTAAAAAAAGATCATGAATGTGGTGCAGCGCATTTCTTCGGTCATAATATCCTACAGATTGAATTAAAAGTCCATCTGTGCGAGTGTCTCCATCGTTATTCGTTTATTTGTCAGTGGATTCAGGTCCTGGTGCGAAGCTGGTCCACGACACCTTGCGGTCGCCCGTGTCGCCAACAAACGAGTTCCCACCAGCAGCACCAGACACCCCGTCCAATGAAGAAGTTATTTCGAGTCGGAAAAGTTCGTCAGCGACTGGCATGGGTACCTTGAATCAAATCCCGAGTTTGGATCAAAAACGGGCGTCCATTTCATCGACGGCTGGCGAATCTGGTGCCAGCAGACGCGGATCGTCGACCATGGACACCTTGCGGGAGATATTCTCGCAGAAAAAGCAGCAGATCCAGTCCCGGCTGTCAAACTTTGAGGTTTGTGATAATTGCGAGCAATCATTCGTTTTAATGGCATTTTTGTCTGATGATAAATGCACAATAAGTTCTCGGATAGTGTACAGTATATATGTGACACTTCAGACTGTGCCATGGGCGAAATAAGATAACATGTTTTTTTCAACGCAATGATGAGTAAAAAGTGTTTTCGGATTTCGCCTGAAGTCTGCGGGAAATTTCTGCAAAAATAATTTCAGACCGAACTTCAGGTTTGGCTTATTTTATTTTAAAAAATGTGTTTATATACTTGACGATTATTCGTCTGAAGAATCAAAAGATTCTTTTTTCCCTTTTTATTCATTAACCTGGAATTATTTTAAGAAAATGTAGGACATATTCAAAAATTCTGTAGAATTTTATGGGCCATCGGATCGGTTTTGCATTTTTCAAAAATTTTCGCCCACCCGATTTTCCGACCATGAATCATGGGATTTTTCTCAAGATTTAATTATGTGAAGTGCCTCAAAAACCCACTTAAAAATAAATCATGAAAGTCATGGTGCATGATACCCACACAACTGACGAGTCATCACACTTTTTGAACCAATTTTTTGAGGAAAAAGTCTCCGAAGATGAATGCTCTAATTTCTTGGTATATATACGAGTATACAGAGCTGGGAAAGGTGTCAAAAGGCGGAGAATATTTGAATTAATTGTAGGGAGGATGACCAAATTTCCTATCAAATTATTTAAAAATGGTTAATTTTTTTTTTTTACGCCAAAATTCAAAAATCAGACACCAGTCTGCTGCAATGAGGAATTAATTTCTTTTCTGGATTTTATTTTACACTGCCGACACGTGTCATATGTGTGGTATTTTTCAAGTCGAACATCGGGATTCCATCATGATTGGGTTCGCTGTGACGGGTCAATGATAAATCATGTGTCATTTACTCTATTATTCCTTTTGCAAATTTAGCCGAATCATCCGGAAATATCCGATGCTTGTTCGGAAGCAGGGAGCATCGTGACCAATCCAGCGATCCAAAGGATGCCTCGCAAAGCAGCTGGATCTCAGCGATCGACTGCCTCTGATGGGGACTTGGACCATGCTTCGAACGTCTGTTTTTTTAAGCTCTTTTTTTTTAAACGAGAAAGTTTAATTTTGAGATTTATCAGCAGTTGTTCTTGAATTTCCCGCGAAATTTACCGAGCGCGGCATCTACCGGGAAACGAAGCAGCGTTTGGTCGTCGAAATCATCTCTCAGTACGGGGTTTCGTTATCACGGTGGCAGCATAATATCCACTGCAACGACTCCGAGTCCAGAAACAGGACGCATCTACGTTTTCCAAGGTGAATTACAATATTTTATTCATTTTGCCCCTTGATTTGAAGTGTATGAGAAATGGTCAATTAACTTCGAAACATTCTTTGGCCTGTTACTGCAGAGCAATACAGTTGGAGTCTTAATCGATTAAAAAAATCCCGAAGACATATCTGGAAAATTTTTAGGTGAAATTCAAGTGCTGGTACCTCATGTTACTGCTTGTTTCGATCCTTATTATACGTCTTTGAATCAGAATGGACGGGAAAATATCACAGGTACTGTATACTTAATTCGAAATACAGTACTGTATTACCTTTGATCACTTTCGAGATTTAAAATGTTGATGGTTGAATTTTAGATCTATAAAAGATGATTTCAACAGAGATTATTCATCAGAAATCTTTCAGAATTTTTGTCTGTGACTGGCGCAAATTATGCATACTCTCAGAAATTATGCGGATCATTTTCGCGAATAATTATTCAATATAAATTTCTGGAGTTCCTAAATTATATTATACAATCGAAGTGCGAATAAATTTGAAGTATTAAAAAAATGAACACCGATTTAGATGTCAGAATTGTATATTTAACGGCTTCGTTGACGTGCTATACTGAATCGAGAGGAAATGAAAGTTTAAAAAAATTAATAAAAATTAATCGATTCTAGCTGGAATCAAAAGGAAAGAGTAATAAAAGTAAAGCACGCAAGTATAAATCTCCAATAACCTCATGTTCAATTCCTCTTTTCATGCATGCATACATTTTTTGTTACAATGTTCTGTATTTTCATCTGTAAAAACAAGTCAGAAGTCTCTTTTCACGAAGAATTAATGGAACTTGGCGGGAAACATCGAGGGCGAGTATATTTATCCAATATATATGAATGATATCGTGTAGGTATTATATGAAGATGTATTACTTGACTGCAATATGGGTGCTATTCTTAGTTTCCCTCGACAGAATGAAAATGAATGGAGTGCGAAATGTTCATTTCAGGGCTTCTTAAAGAAAGATGCAATCTCTGGCACCAAATGCAATTTTGGGAAGACGCATTTCTGGACGCTGTTGCGCAAGAAAGGGACATGGCTGGAATGGATCAAGGACCCATTGAGATGATGGAAAGGTACTGATTTGATACAAATCTTACAAAATGTCTATTAATTTACACTTTGTAATTGGTTCTGCGAATATTCGGGGGGGGGGGAAGGTTTGAAATGTATACTTCGCAATTTTTAGGCGAAAATCCGAGGATCAACCTAGTTATTCAATATCTAAACTTTGTAAATTTATCGGCGGGAGTCCAAGGATAAAAAAAAACGTTTTAAAACATGACGTTTGTATTTTTCGGCGAAAATCCGAGGATCAACATAGGAATCTAATGTCTAAACTTTGTAAATTTATCGGCGAGAGTCCAAGGATCAAAAAACGTTTTAAAACGTGAAGTTTTTATTTTCGACGAAAATCCGAGGTTCAGAGGATATTCCGTTCTATCAGAACGACCGTTTCAATGATTTTGCTTTCGATAGATGGACTCTATTCATTCGTGGGTTCTTCTTTACAATTCAGTACAGTACAGTACTGTACTTTCAAAATTATTTTATGGAATATATTTTGGTTTGCTTCTGTTGGATCGCGTGATTCTTTTATTTTTCGGGTCGCCAATTTTTTAAAATTTTTTCGATTAAACATTAAAGAACCTACTCCGGAATTATAATTTCAAGGTATAAAAATTTGAGCGAAACGGAAAGGAAGCGGTTGGAGCACGAAGAGGACAGGTTGTTGGCAACCATGCTTTACAATCTAGTCGGTTTCATGATCATGTTGGGAGTGGATCAAGAGTCGCTGAGGCGCAAAGTGAGGAGACTTTTGGGAAAATCCCACATTGGGTTAATCTACTCGCAAGAAGTGCAGTTATTGCTGGAGCAAATACACCAATTGGTAATTATATAATCCTACAGTTTTCTGGTTCATATAGGGGCCTCGTTTATCAACTGTTCAACTTCCATTCCGCACTTTTTAAGTTTCAGCAGGATGGTTAATCGTTGAAGAAAATCAAGTGACATTTCAAGGTCACTATTATCATCCATGATCGTTATTGAAAGATTGGTTGGAAAAGAAAATTTATTTTCGATGATGACTATAAGCACACATTTTTTCCTTGCTGTTTTTATGATGTACCCAAATTACGAAGTTGGAGTCCTAAATTAAACTATACTGTACTTCGGTTAATGCAATGATAGACTTGAAGCAAACCTCTGTTCAGTTGCCAATAAGAATTTTATCTACTTTCATCCGTGACTTGTGAAAAACTTGATTTCTTTGGGCCTAGATATACAACTTTTGTATCCAGCGTCACTAGCCCAAAAATGAAAATTGTTCGAGTATGTTTTTGTCAGAACGTGGTTTCCAGATTTGGGACATTTTCGCAGAGGCGAACATTTTTGAAATATTTGGTGACTTCTTTACACTTCCTGCAAATCCGAAAAATTTGTAGACCTTCTTCCCTCATCGTAATAATGAGGGGTCCTTTCAACTCATTTTATATTCCCTCAATTTTAACCTGGGTGAGAAACAATTTTAAAATGTCCGATAAAGGCTGAATGCAAATTTCCGAATAAATTAACTGCTACCATAAAATAAGATACAGTAACAGCAAATCACAGGTCTGTCAAATCTTAAAGTATCAGCCAACGAATATAGGCTGGAAAATGTTGGAATTCTTGTTCCCTTTTTGACCTCAGGCAACCCGGGAAAACCAAATGAAGTATGATTGGGTTTCTTTTCGGTAAAAATCAATTGACTTTTCAAATGTAAAAATGAATCGAACCCTGGTTTGATTTTTGGCTTTGGTATAGCACGGAAATGACATCGACTTGAAGCCATTGCCATCACGTCAACTTCATCGTCAAAGTTTCACAGTTCACGTGGGAACAGAAAACACCGGAGAACTGATGTTTCTCGAGGTTCGCGACGATGGAATCATCGTCAGGTTAGTCATATTAAAGCTTCATTGTGACATCCTTCCATGCCCCTGATATAAACATCATTATAACAGAAATTTGGTTGAGAAAAAAACAGTATCTTATCTGATGGTTTGTTACACACGCAGATCCGTGAACGGAGCCATTGTCGAGCGTTGGTGGTACGAAAGAATAGTGAACATGACGTACTCGCCGAAAAACAAGGTCTTGTGTTTGTGGAAGCGTTCGGGAGGTGAGACGCACTTGCACAAGTACCACACGAAAAAGGTAGGTCATTATGTCAGACGAGACCCTGTGATGTTTTTTAGTCCCAGACAGGGACTGAAAAAAAACCAACGTAAGGAAATTCGAGTTATATTGAGGCTCAACTGTATATTTAGAAATATTTACAGTGAGGCCCCTAGATGCGGACATAATTGGTGCATCAAGAGTGTCCCTAAGTTGAATTGTCTCTTAAGTCGAGTTTTGTTTTCCCATAGACTTACATTATATAGCTTTTGATTGGTGTTTTATGGAAGAAATATTCTTCAGAATTCATTGAGAAAAAATTTTGTTTGCCACTTTAATTTGATTCAGTGAATATATTTTCAACCCAATAAGAACATTTGGAGCATTGAATAGTATACCAGTGAACAGTTCATTGGAATGTTGGCATCTGTAAAAATAACATCCAAGTCACAAAAAGAGAAGGAAGACCCTCTGTGCTACAGGTAATTTTTTAATCAGCTGAATGGATGGGAAAGTGATGGGAAAAGTACCAAAGACTTTTTCTTACATAGATCTTACGGTTGGAAATATCCGTTTCTTGCAATTAAGCCTAATAAAAGTCAATTTTCCTAGACTGTATTGGCAATTTTCTCATGCGATGTCCTCATGTTGAGTCAGTGTCCCTATGTTGGGCCTTTTTTTGATTTTTTTTATTGAAAAATAAATGTCCCTATGTCGAATTGTCCCCATGTTGAGGTGTCCAAATGTGGGGGTCTCACTGTATATATCACATAGGCAATAAATTGCAGGTAAATATGCGAGGGGTTACACAGTTCCGCACGGATCAGCTTGTTGCTGCTGTTCTGGGGGAGCTTCAAAATGTAACAACTGAAAATTTCAAGACCTGTTTCCACACATGCACCAAAATGGCTGAGAAGTGTGTACAAATTAGTGGTGACTACATTGAGAAGGTGTCAGCCTAGCCTCTTGGAACTATTGAACATGAGAAAAAAAAGTTTTTAAAAATCCTGGTGTTTCAGATCATTTCAAGTCCGCGCGGAAACGCGTAAGCCCACGTACTGATGATAGGAGATGCCTGATTTTCAGAAAAAATGGTATCAATATTCATAAGGTTTTTATCGTTGCTAAAGCATGCTTGTAAGAACCATTATTTTTCTTATCTATAGGTTAATAATTTTGAATTTGCAATGGAATTTCCCTGTTTTTTTTTCAGTGCAAAGCTCTGTACTATTGCCTGAAAGAGGCGATGGAAAGAGCAGCTGCCCGAGGGCAAGGCGGCATTCCCGGTGCGGAACTCGGGGGTGAGTTTCCGGTTCAGGACATGAAAACGGGCGAAGGGGGATTGCTTCAAGTTTGCATGGAAGGTGTTGGTCTTCTCTTTGCCAGTTCCAAGGTAATCGGGCTCCTCTTTTTCCTTCCTTTCATCTCTACCCCATCTCTTTTTCGACCCATGGTGATGGTTGGCCTCATCGCAAATGAGAGACACGTTATTTTACGTGTTGGAGTCCAATATGGGAAATTTGTTTGCTTAAACGTCGACAATTGTCACGTTAAATAAATAGTGTTTTTTTTAAATAAGGAATTTATCGGCTAAAATAATTTTAGTTGCTGATTATATAGATCGGCTGCGCTTTCCGCAGGAGAAAACCATGTCGGAGGATTGGTTTAAAAGTGCTTTCCGTGTCTTATCGTACTTCCGCAAATTCGAAATGAATTAAATTGTAATAAATTGTCACTAATATTGATTGTTGTTTCCCAGCCGTTTTCTCGATTTACAATGAAGAGAAGACAAAGATAAAAAGCCTATGTTCGGGAGTAAGTTTTTTTTTTTACCTCGAGTGTTTTCATAAATGTGCGAATGATCTGAGAGCCCTCAAAATTTTCATTGATAGTTGAAATAAATTCAGAAGTTATGCCTCAGAGCAGGGTATTAAAAAGTGTTCCGATCGTGACATTTCTGCTCTATATAGTGATGCAAATTTTGAGGGGGACTCAAAGTGTCAAAGAGTAAACAAGTCATTTTGTACAATTCAAATTGATGAGTTTTGTTGGAAGCAACAAATGATCGATTTTGACGTTATTTTTAGATTGATCCAAAAATGGGAAAATTTTCTGACAAAAATCAGCATTTTAAATTGTTAAAACAGGAGATTTCTACGCTAAAACATTTTCAAGTTGGCGGAAGGTTTATCAAGCATCTTAAAATGAAAATTATTCATGTACATCTGGGAAAATATTTTCCCAAAATTTATGAAAACCAGCCGAATTATGATCGGGATCATGGAAACACTTTTGAACCAAACCTCATTGTTTTAGAGATCTATCTTATATCTCTCTTCAGAAACTAATGAAACTGAAAGTTAGTTAAATTTTTTAATGTTCTTTTAGAGAAATTAATGCTTTTTTGCTGCAAATCAAGCCTTCCCTTGTTTTCATGAAGGAATCCAGCGGGCTTGCGTTCTCGGCTGAATTTTTTTAAAATTGAATATTATAAAGTCGTGCTAAGTTCTGTGATTGTTCGTTAATGGACGACTTAATTTTTAGGAGTGCTGTATAAAAAAAAGTGCTGTAATCTATAATACGGTATACCCTTATACAGGATTGAGAGAATTTTCGCGATTCGCTCTTGTTCATTTTCCAGCGAAAAGGGCCCTGTTTAAACTCGATTTTCGAATTCGAAATAAATTGATATAATTGTGTGGCGATCAAGGACCTCTGTCAATCGAGAAGCCGAGATGCATTATCGGAATTCTTCTTTCACGAATATTTCGGAAAATTTCAACAACAACAAAAGAACAAAGACGAATATAGAGAAAATTATTCGCGGAAGTATTTCTTTGACACAACAAAAAAAACGGAAATATTTCGGGCTGAAAGATAATGACCTTTATTTTTCTTTCGCTTTCGTGTTTGATCGTGTGTTTCATTCACTCATATATCTATATATTTATGTATACCTTATGCGTATATATACATATATTTTTGTTCGGATTTGTTTCCCCCTCATCATCGCGACGACAAATCACGTTCCTTTCATCACTTTGCAGTCGTTATTTCGATACTCGTTCCCTCCATTTACTGCTTCTGCATACATACGATCAGTATCCGTGTATTTTTTACATTTTTCTTCCATGTGTGGATCATGATTCATGGCTCTTTTTGAGTTTCTTCGGAAGATTCTTCTGTCTTTTTTCTTGCCATCGTCTTGCTCTTACTCGACTTTTGCATTCATGTCCGGGCTGCCGAGTTCATTTATTATGTTTGCGTTCCGTGCGAAGCCGAGAATATCCAGATTCTTTCAAGAAATTGAATGAAGAGAAAACCAAAACATTCGATCTCAAAAGGATTATTTTGAGAGCAAAAGATTTAGGTTATTCATGTTATTTTGAGAGGTGTGAAAAGAAACAGACCGATTTCCAAAAAGAAATTTCTCCTGGATAAATAAAAAAAATTCAAATAAGAGAGATAATTTAAATTTATGTTTTCCTGTAATTTTACTTTTCTAATGAGACAGAATAGCGGGAATAATTTGATGATTTCACTACTGGTGAAATGAAGCAGCTTTTCTTACCTAATTAAGCGTTTTGCTTGATGGAAAACGTGTTTGTGCTCATTTATTTTCCACAGATCGACCACAAAATAATAGAAACTTCATCTTGTTTTCCCTATTGTATATAACATAAATGTTTTCATTATAAAACGTGACAAATTCCCCTGGAATATTAATTCAAATACATTACGGTAAAATTTAAATCAACTCACGGACCATAAAATTAAACTTCTTGGTAAAATCTGAGTCAACCACATTTGACTGCTTCCGACAAGATGAAAAATCGAAGAACGGCGTAAATTTTGAAAAAATTCTCGTTTTTTGTCTTATCAGGAAAAGAGCTGAAAAATTGGGTCTCTTGGTTAATTGACCCTTAACAAGTGAACATGGTAAAAATAATCGGAAGTGTTTTGTAAAGTTCAGAAATACTGTAGCAGGAGACATTGCTGTTGAATTATGGTCTTTTTGGCTTGAAATTTTCTTTTCACACTCCTAAAATCTATTATGCTTATGAAATCTTGATTTTAATCGGTCAAAATATGTTCTGGATATTTCTCAGATTGGACGGAATTTTAAATTTCCATATTTCCGGCTTTTGTGGAAAACAATTCACTTGCCTGATGAGCTTTGCTTCGAATCCTTGTTTCATGAAGAAAAAAAAAGCGTAAAGATTTTTGAAACACGAGCAAGCTTTTCGATTTTCAAAATTTGTTGACGCAACAACGGGGATCACTGAAAATATACGTTTTGCCCCGTATTTTTTCTTTCTTTTTCTTCCCTTTTCAACTAGCTATGTTATCTGGTTGTTGTTTCACAAGTGATGAATGTTTCGTTCCGTCTTTTCTCATCCGCCATTTCTTTTCTTATTCGCTTATATTTTTTTCTGTCTTTTCTTCTCCCTCTATATAATAAGTGTTCGTTGCGAGATTTCCGGTTTCCTTTTTTTCTCTCTCTCTTTCGCTTGGAAATGTCTTAGGATTTCCCAGTCATATATTGATGGACTCTGGTTTCATATGCTCTCTTTTCCCTTCGATGTTTCGGTCGAAGAACTGGGAAACGAGCCTCAATCTCCACTTTTGTCATCCGTTTCGAGGTGCACTGCTTTTCTTTGGGCGCGTGGAAAATTATTCTGCGTGGCCGAGTTCCGTTTGTAGGGCATTGCACTTATTCCGTGCGACGCATTTCTAGATTTTATCGCAAGACGCAGCAATTTTTAAAAAATTAACTTTGGAAAACAAAAAATCGAGTATACAGTGTTTGTCGTTGTTTCTTCCGGAGGACACTTGCCTTTCAGGCTTTTATTGAATCAAAGGAATAAATAGCGAAGAACAGTTTCATTTATTCGGTTATCCCAGCATTTTTATCATTCCGTTGACATGTATCAAAAACGAGAATCGTAAGAGAAAAAATTATGCTCACGGGTTGATCGAATTTTTTTGAAGATCATGCGGAATATTTTACAATTATGACAACCTTTTCGTATAACAAATTCTGATTTTTTGTTTACCTCATCGTATCCTATTTTTTGACTTCCTTATAGGTTTAAAGAGAGTTGAAATTTCATGTCATATATGGTCGACCCGTGGTTGTATAAATAAGTTGCAGGTAGTTATTCAGATGCTACGAATTACAGTAATTCGAAGAAACGATCAATCAAGTCAGATGGGAAATGGCACTGTTTCAATTTAAAAAAAAAAGCTTTTTGTGAACGTTACACGTAAATTTCCATTATTTAGCAAGAAATTGCAGTCAAAGCTGAAAAAATAAAGGAGGGAACCTTGACAGAAGATGAAAAGAACGATTTCGGTACGATTAGAATCAATTGCAAGGTTATTCGTAGATTTAGAAGACTGGGTTAATAAGAAAACAACACCCTGAAGCCGAAAAGAAAATTATGTCACGAAAAAATATTTTCCGTTGATAAAATTGTTCACGTTGTGTTTTTTTTTTTTTACTTTGAGAAATTTTGCTGTACTTTTTGGATCCAGACAGTGTTTTTTTGGAGAGCAATATAAAACCTGATTTTTTGTTGTTGAAATTGATGAGAAAGGATAATTGAAAACTTTGTTTTTGTGCGGAAGATCAGCGTCTGCGTTATGCTAAAAGATTATATTTAAAAAATTCTCTAGATTTTCATCACAGTTCATCACAGAAAAAAAAATTTTTAAGCTTGAACAATAAATTATGTCGACATACACGAGTTCCGTTGTTGCATTCTGCTTTGCGTTTGGACTATACAGGAGCTTATTGTGCTGAAAACTATGGTATAATAATTCACGACGAGCTCCGAGAGGTCCTTGATTCCCTATATATATATATATATATATAGATACTGTATTTGAATTCCGGTGTAGTGATCGCTGATTGATCCGATTTCGTCGTTGATTGCTCATGATGCATCTGCTGATTTCTATCTCCCCTTCTTTTGCTGCGTCGACGTGCTCACGCGTTTCCGAATGGGGTGCGGTGACAGGACTTCGAGGTATATCCTCCTTTTTCGTACGCCTTTTCCATTCTTCTGTTTTCGAGTCCTTGGCCTGAGTCTATACATAGATTATATAAACTCGAATTTTCGAATTCAAATGAGCAGGGAATTTCGGCGAGAAATTCATCTAAACCGTGTGTGCGAAACCCCGCCGGAATAAGGAGTCATTATTAAAGAGCACCGAATATCTCTGTTCATTTGCATTTGCTCGTATAGGGATGCGTTTGCCATATAGATTATCAAAGTATTTTCTGCACTGGTTTGCATCTCTGATGATTAAAAAAAAACAAATCGATCGAGGATGAGCTAAGATGAGTTATTGAGGCATCCACGGAATTTGAGTTTTTTTTATTATTTT